AAACTTCCTGTTGTTTGTTTTACACTTCCTGTTTGTTGTTTGTTTTAGACGTTCGTAGAGTTTAAAGTTTATTTGCACAGAGCTGGTTTGTTGTTTGGAGTGTTTGTTCAAAAATGAGTCAATAAAGTTTAGTCCTGGTGGAGACGGTACCGGTTCTGATGGTTCTGGATCACGTCTCGATGTTAAACTCACTTTGATTGTTTGAATGTGAAAAACTGAATCCAGGGATCTGAACCTCTTTTAGTCCTGATCCAGACCTCAGTTCTTTTGGACTTCTTGGTAAACAGCTCGGTCTTGGTTCTGTTAGCTGGACTTCCTGTTTTATTTTGGTAGATCCTCTTCATTGGTGCAGGTTTGCTTCCTGTTTAGGTCTGGACGTTCCCTCCGGGCCTCTGGTTCTGGTTCTTGTGACTCGTTCGGGTCTTTTGTCTCTCCACCGTGGAAAGACACCGACAGTTTAAATCGGTTCTTGAAGTGGTCCGTTTCAGGTTCTGACTGAACGTTCCTCTGAAAACTCAGGCCTGAAAGAACCGGACCACTTCACCAGAACACAGGAACGTCTGGGTCACATGCACGTGGAGAACTGGACCAGGGTCCAATGACCCAGTGGATCAGGGTCCAGCGAACCAGGGTCCAGCGAACCAGGGTCCAAAGGACTGGGGTCCAATGACCCGGGGTCCAGTGACCCAGTGGACCAGGGTCCAGTGTGGACCAGGGTCCAGCGAACTGGTCCGGGTCTTTTAATAAATTCGACTGATTAATCGTCTCATTGATCTTTTGGTCGACGGTGATTCTTAAATTATTTAAAACTGATTCTTACAAAAACCAACGAGAAGAAAACGCACTTGGAAAAGTTTATTTATCAAATCTTTATTTGTTTATTTGTTTGTTTGTTTCCTGCTGAAGAGACGACTTGTCGGGTTAGAAACACGACGCACACAGAAACAAACACGAGACAAAAATATTTACAGGAACAAGAAAACGATGAACTCGTGATCCAACATGGCGTCCTCCGCCTCGCTCCGCCCCTTAAACACTTCCTGTTTACCACCAAACAACACGTCTTCAGTAAACACAAACAACAAAACACAGCAGAACCGCTCGGGTTCTGGTTACTTTACGGTTCGGGTCGTTCTGCAGGATTAACTTCACAACAAACAGCTTTTATTTTGACATGAACTGCTCAGAGCAGGAAGTCCACCAGAACTTCAAAATAAAAGTCAGGAAGACAAACAAACCTCAGACAGAAAAACAACTTCATCTCTTTGATCCTCCTGCTGCCCCGGGGTCAAACGAGGCCTCGGTTTTAAGACGGGGGTTGTTCTGAACCCAGGGCAGCAGGAGGTCCAACCAGGGACTGTCAGGACCTGCAGGGTTGGACAAACGGTTTCTGTTAGTGAGTTAACGGGTCATCAAGCTGGGAGTCATGCAGGTCTGGGTCTCCTGGTCCATCCTGGAGTCCCGTCAGGCCCTCAGTCCGGTCCTCAGTCCGGCCCTCAGTCCGGTCCTCGGTCCGGTCCTCGGTCTGGTCCTCGGTGGAGAGCTCAGAAAATGGTGCTCCAGCGTTTAGGGGGTGGACGGGACTTGGACTCTCCCTGAAGACAAGAAGGGACAAAAACTGATGAGGAGGACTCTGACCCAGATGGCTGCAATCTGGAGGTTCTGGATATGGTTCTGAGACAAAATCCAGTGGGTCGTCAGACCAGAGCTGGTGGAGAAGATCCACGCAGAGGTGGGAGGTGTTTACAGATAAAGAACCAGAACCGTTCTGATCCGTTTACACAAGCAGGGTACGTGAAGCCCGGTTCTACAAAAGGTTCTGGTTCTGGACTCACCAGGTTGAAGATTCTGGACAGGGTGCTTTGTTCTCTGCGTCTTCGGACCGGAGACTTTGAGCTCTCCACACGAGACGATGAGGCCTGGAAGAAGATTCTGTTAGAGCCCGGCTGGAGACCAGAGACCTGAACCTGAGTCTGGAACCAGCACCTGAACCTGAGTCTGGATCCACTGAAAGTTCTGGACACGGTGAGTTTTGTAAGTTTTTATTTTAAATCCTTTTCAGGTCTAAAAGTCTGAACCCGACTCTTTGATCTTTCAGCGCTGAAGAAGAATCAGAACTTCTGACTCTGAGCTGCTGATGGAGGAAACATGAGAGGAACAGGAGAGGAACATGAGAGGAACATGAGAGGAACAGGAGAGGAACAGGAGAACACGTGTCTCCAGGAGAGACGCTCCACAGCAACCTGTGGAGGACAGAAAGGGACGACGAAGACGAGACAATGTCCACAGGGGAGCTGAGGGGGAGAAATGACACACAAAATGGCTGCTGTACAGGTGAGGGGACACGGGGGGGGGGGAGGGGTCAGTCCAGGCCCGGAGGAGCTGGAGGTGTTACAGAGGAGCAGAGGAGTGAAAGTAGGGAGGAGGAGGAGGAGGAGGAGGAAGAAGAGGAGGTGTTTACCGGTTCATAAACAGCCGAGCCGTTTCAAAGTCATCCAGGAGCAGCGAGTCGCTCTGAGTTCAGTAAAGAAGGATTCAAAAGAGACAAATCACAGAAAAAGAACCAGACGGGTCAGAACCAGGGACGGGTCAGTCTGGGGGGCTGATGTTCTGCATTAAGGCTGGTTTATACTCCATGGGCGTGTCGTGAAAAGATCTGATGTTTTCTTGCTCACCCCCCCCCCCCCCCCCGCTGAGACCCGTCTTGTGTCCTCAGTCAGAACTAGTTTCTTTCAGGACTTAAGGACTTCTGTCGAGCATTGTGCTGTCGGTCAGAACTTCAGGACTGATCTTTGTAAGTTAGATTATCTGCAGGAACCGTTGTAGAGATGTTTTCAAACAGCCTCGACCAGCAGCTGCTCAGCTGATCTCAGAGCAGCAGCTGCTCAGCTGATCTTCATAAACAAACACGCCCACAAAGTTCTGACCCGTCACACAAAACTCGACCGACGCCGTGCGAGAAACTAGTTCTGTCCGGGAGCAAGACACAAGACGCGTCTCAGCGGGGGGCGTGAGAAGAAAGTACGCTGCTTTTGTCATGCAAAAGATCTGCCTGGATGTGAACATGTTACACACTTCACACATGTTACACATTTAACACGGGTGTAACACGTGTGAAATGTGTAACACGTGTTAAATGTGTAACATGTGAAGTGTTTTTCTTCAGAGAAACATTTAGAGAAGGACCAGAGTGATGTTAGGAAGCAGCTGCAGACAGAAGACATGTTTCAGAGGACGTCACTGCACGCGCTCAGAGCGGCGCTGTCAATGGGGCGGGGCTAGGTGTGGGGGGGCGGGGTCTGTAGGACTGAAGAAAGACTGAGACGTACCAAACCCAAGACTTCTCTCCACTGGACATGAAAAAAACAGAAGCATGAGACGAGTGTCAGATGAAAACTGCTGCTGGTGTCAAATGCTCCTTCAGTTTACGTCAAAACTGTGTTTTGAAAACAATAATCAATAAAAAACAAAAGGTTACGAACACAACATTATTTCAATAATATCTTCAAAATACAGTCAAATCATTTAAACAAACATTTATTCTGAAATCTGAATTGACCAAAACGTTGCTTCACTCTTTCATAAACAGTAAAATTATAAACAAACAAACAAACAAACAAACAAGTGTAATTTACAGGCGTTTACCTGCTTCAGGTAAAACTCAGATCTACGTTAATTTATTGTAAATATAAATGAACAGATGGAGTTTTATTTTGAAAACTGGCGGTTTGAAGGAGCGTTTGTATTTTTAAACTAACAGGAAGAATTGTGTCAGCAGCAGCACCGACAATAAACACTGATTTATTCCAGTCAAGTCACGTCTCCACCACGTGGACATGAAGACGCTGGACGCACGAAGCAGGACGTGACGCCTGCAGCTCGAAGCCGTTCAGCCGCTGCTCAGAAAACAGTTTCATGTGTCTGCGTCCTAATCAATGAATCTGAACGGTGATTATTATTATTAGGCAGCACATCAGGAGCTTCTGTGTTAATGCTGGTAATAGTTTATCTGCTTCAGTGCCTCTTTCCTGTGTAGTTCCTCAGGGCTCGATTCTTGGACCCCTTCTGTTTTCACTCTATCTGCTCCCTCTGGGGTCTATCCTGAGGAAACACGGTCTTTCTTTTCATTATGCTGATGATTGTCTGATTTATCTGCTCTTAAAACCCAGTAGCTCATGCACGATCCACCCTCTGTTAAAACGTCTTGATGACATCATGGCTTCAAATCTTTTAAGTTTTAATGATCAGAAAACTGAAGTCATCGTGTTTAACCCCAGCTCCACAGCTCTCTCTTTTCCTGTAAGTCTGGACTCACTGCAGCCACATCTTAAACAGTCTGATACAAATCTCTGGATGCTTTTAGACTCTGACTTTAAGTTTAATCAACAGATTAACTCTGTTCTGCAGAAAAGCTTCTTCCAGTCGAAGCTGACGTCCATGTTGACCAGATCTGAAAACAACAGTCCACGCCTTCATTACTGCCCAACTACCCGGCTTCAGTGACGATGTGAGACCAGAACAAAACCACACGCAGCTCAGAGAGGTCCAAACGGGTTGCACGAGCACAAATCCTAGTGCAGCTGCGTCCAGCCGTGTCTTCTTGTCCTCGTCCACTTCCTGTTTTTAGAGTCTGCGTCCAATAATCAGATCGTTAACGGCGTCCACACACAGAGGTTGACGAACGGTCCGACGTCGAGCTCAGAGCTGCTTTCAGTCTGAACGTCACGACCTCTGGTGCACCTGAGCTACCGTGCACGTCAGGATCTGGTGCACCTGAGCTACCGTGCACGTCAGGATCTGGTGCACCTGAGCTACCGTGCACGTCAGGAAACCAACAGTTCTGAAATGAGAGCAAAGCTCATGTTCTTCAGCAGCACAGATGATGTGTGAGACACCGAAAGGACCGGACCGACAGCCGAAGGTCGGCTCGGTGTAAACAAGGCAGGTCAGATCCAGCGTTTAGTCTGAGTCGACCCAGTTCTGCTGCTTCAGCTGAGCGCAACAGTTTTCGGTCACATCAAAGGTTTTATTTCAGTGTAGTTTAGTTTTTACGTCTGGAGGCTGAATCCTAAACGAGAAACTGTCTGCGGTTTCATCGTCCGAGCGTCTCTTGACATTTTTTGTCACTTTAAGGAGTTTTTGTGTTTCTGGGTCAGATTCGGCCTCCAGAAGGAGCTAAAACTGGCTGAAACTAGCCGAAACCTGAGGCAAGAAAAAGCCGAAATGTTTGAAGGACAGGGAGCCGATGAGAGCTGCACGAAACAAAACGACGGACTCACCGTGGATTTAGGAGGAGGAGAAGAAACCTGCAGGAGGAACAGAGCGAAGGTCAGAGCTGCAACTGGGAGGAGCAGAACAAACAGCTAAAACCTCTCCGAGACAAAAGACCGAGACCCAAACTCTGCAGAGTTCATGTGAAAACCACAGAATCTGATCCGACTTACGATGCTGCGGAAGAAATGGAGCACAGGGTTCTGGTCGGTCCGGCGGCGGGCCGAGGCCTGCTGGGGCGAGGTGGCGTGGTGACCTCTGAACGAGCCCTGAAACCAGATCAAAACCACAAATCAGCTAAAGGCCTCACACTGAAAGGTCTTCGGCTACTGGTGAGCAGATTCTAGCGAGGCCCGGCGGCTCTCTTCGGGTCCAAACAAAACAAACGATAAACCACTTCCTGTGAAAACGCGGCTATCGTTGCTGAAAGTTGCTGAACAAGCTGAAGCTGCACATCAGTAACTGAAAAAACTGAAAGGAGCACAAAACAGCTGAAATGTTCAAAACAATAGATGAAAACAGCTGAAATGTGCAGAAAGAAGTTAAAAACACCAGAACAAGCTGAAATTAGAAAAATAAAACGGAGCGTAAAAGGTCTGAATCAGCAGCAACGTGACCAACAGCTACATTTAGCTGGAAAAAGCTTAAATGTGGCCAAACAAAGATGAAATGAGCAGAAACGAGTTTAAAAAGCTAAAAGAAGCACAATAGAGGCTGAAATCAGAAGGAAGCTGAAAGGAGCAGAGAAAAAGCTGAAAAATGTATAAAAAGTTTAATTTGGCACAAAGAAGCTAAAAACAGCTGAATCAGAACAAGTAAAAGTTGTAAACAAGCTCCAGTCATCTTTCATGGAGAACAAAATGGCCGACAAAGCTAAATATTTCACACAGAAACCAGAAGGAACGTCCTGAATGAGCCGAACGTTTTGATTCCTGAATGAATGAACCAGCTGAGACCAGGAACGAGGCTTTAAAGTCCCGGCAGGACCTTCAGAGTCCCTGCAGGACCTGAGCCAGAAACAAGCTGAAGCAGAAAAACAGCTAAAACGAGCCTCAAGCTTCAGCTAAGAGCCGAACGTTTTCATCTTCAGCTCAGAAGAAATTTATCTGAATGTTCGCGTCTGAAAATGAAATAAGTAAAAAAAACTAAAACTGACGGAACCAGGAGTCAGAACTGATCTGCATCACGGAGACACGTACAAACACCCCACAGCTGGATTAAACCAGATTAAACCAGAATCAGATTAAAGCAGATTAACTGAGATTTGAAGTGAATTCATCCAGATCTTGTTTAGATACAGAGTTAATTAATGGTTTGATGATCTGAGCTCAAAGTTGAGATGTTAATTGGACCGAGCCCAGGTTCTGATCAAACCCAGAACCTGTCAGTCTGGACCGGTTCTGCTCACCCGACTCCTCTTCTTCTTCTCTCCTCCAAACAGTTTGCAGAACTGGTCCATCAGGCCCGGGTTCTTCTTCCTCCTGCTCTGCCCTGTGGTACCGGCTGTAGCCATGAAGCTGCTGCTGGGGTCCGGTTCTGACGGTCCAAAGCTCACAGTGCCGACCCGCTGGCTCTGCGGCTCCTTCAGGCTGAGGTGCAGCCCATCCTCCAGAGCCGGTGGGCGTGGTGCTGAGGTCGTGGTTCTGGCCCGGTTCCAGACATTCTTTGGACCAGAGGCGGTGTCAGTCGCTGCCGCCCTCGGACTCACCCGGACGGAGGAACAAGGCCCATCTGAGTCTGGACTCAGGGCCCGAGGCAGAGCGGTGCCGGTTCTGAGGGCCCATTGTTGGGCCGCCCTCAGCTAAATGGGTTGAACAGAACCCGGATCACCTCAGAAACACTGTGGAGGAACAAACCTCTGAGCCCACAGTCCAGTTCTGCAGGTTCAGACCCAAACCTGTGTCTGTGACCCACGTTCTGATGTAGAACCTGAGTCCGACCAGAACCGGACTTTGTGTCAAAAATAAACAAAAGCAACGATTCATGGAACTCCAGAACTAAAATCAGAGGAAATGTTCCGGTCCAGCTGTCTGAAACGACCGGACCCAAACCTGCTGGAGGTTCTGGAGGACCCGAGGAGGAACCTGTTGAAGGTTCTGTCCTGTTCTGGTCTGATGAGGACTTTATGCTCCTTCAGTCCTGGATCTTCTCCTGGATGGAGCAGATGTTCTAAAATCTGCAGATGTTTTCCTTCATTGATGGAGTCTGTCCAGATGTGGCAGCTGCTCGTGTTAGAGGCACTAATGCACCCCCATACCATCAGAGAGGCAGCTGTTTGACTGTGAGCTGATAACAGACTGGATGATCCCTCCTCTTTAGTACAGAGGACCTGGTTTTAACGAGGTCCAGAACAGACCCAGACCTGGTTTTAGTGCAGGGGCCCCTGAGGGCCTCGTTCTCTGAGCTCAGGGTCCTTCAGATTCTTCTAATCTGAGGATCAGATTATGAACCGGAGAAGATGCAGATTAAAGTATTTATTCAGGACCTTTATTGTGAAAGAGTTCCTGTAGTTTCAGACTGTCCATCTTTAACAGCCTCTGACGGAGCTGCTCATAGTTCTCCTCGTCAGGTCCTGAATGCTGGTTCTGATCCGGACCTCTGCCGGCCGCAGGCTGCTGCCGACATTAAATACAAACAGAATTTATTTATGAAATAATTTCTGTCTTCAGGCTGAAGCTCCTTCGGTGAGAACAGAAAAGTTGTAACCGGGTCTGAAACCGGTTCTGTTTGTGTTGGTTTCACTGCAGCCCAACAAAGCCGGTTCTGTTCTGGGCTCGGTTCTGTCAGAAGACGCCCACACACAAACAGAATATTAATATTGGAGCACAGGTGCTCGTTGTTTGGTTCTGACCCGCCTGAACAGCAGGACTCCCAATAGATCCATACAAGAAATATAAAAGTAAATTACTGGACATGTTTAATGAGGCTTTTCAACATGACAGCCCCCCCCCCCCCCCCGCATTAAATATGACCCGGATCACACGTCTACCAAAACCAGGTAAGTTGTCTAATAAATGTGAAAATTTCAGACCTTATTAAATTCAGATTTGATCATTATTGCAAAACTATTGGCTAACCATTGAACCCCTGGTTATCACAACACGCTCACACCCTCACAACACGCTCACACCCTCACAACACGCTCACAACACGCTCACAACACACTCACACCCTCACAACACGCTCACACCCTCACAACACACTCACACCCTCACAACACGCTCGCACCCTCACAACACGCTCACAACACGCTCGCACCCTCGCAACACACTCACACCCTCACAACACGCTCACAACACGCTCACAACACACTCACACCCTCACAACACGCTCACAACACGCTCGCACCCTCGCAACACGCTCACAACACGCTCGCACCCTCGCCTTGCTGCATTAACGTTGGACCTGTTGAACACAGAATGTCATTATTCGCTGACGATGTTATTTTGTTTGTTTCAAAGCTCCACATCCATCCATCCATTATCTTTACCCGTTTATTCCATTTTGGGTCACGGGGGTCGCTGGTGCCCATGTCCAGCAATCACTGTGCGAGGGGCGGGGTACACCTTGGACAGGTCTCCAGTCCATCACAGGGACACATAGAGACAAACGAGACAAACAAACATTCACTCTCTCACTCACACCTAGGGACAATTTAGAGTTACCAATCAGTCTAACATGCATGTTTTTGGTCTGTGGGAGGAAACTGGAGTACCCGGAGAAAACCCACGCATGCACGGAGAGAACATGCAAACTCCACCCAGAAAGGCCCCTGGACCGGGGTTTGAACCAGGGACCTGCTCGCTGAGAGGCAGCAGCTCTACCAGTTGCACCACCGTGCTGCCCTCAAAGCTCCACAAATCTTTACAATGTATACTTGACATAATTTCATCATTCAGTGAGATATCGGGATATAAAATCAATTAGACAAAATCCTGAGTGTTACTACTAAATGCAGTTGATAGAATGACTCCAGTCCCAGAGGAGTTACAATTTAATGTAGTAACACAACTTGGGAATACAAAATCTACCAGATTTGAAACAAGTTGTTGAAACAAATTACATATAAAGTAAGCAAACGACTCCATTGAAAGATGGATGCCCTTAACTACATCCATGATATGGAGGATAAATATAATTAAAATTAACATAATACCTAAATTTCTCTATGTGTTCCAGAATGTTCCCCTCTCACCTCCTACTGGAATATTTCAGCAAATCAGGAAGATGATCATAGAATTTATATGGAAAAATAAAAGCTCTAGACTTAGATGAACTTTAATGTATTTGCCATACGACCGCGGAGGTCTAAGATGCCCAGATTTTCAGTTATAATATTGGGCTACACCATGTCGTCTTATTACTCCTCTGACCCCCCACAATGGGTAGATATGGAAACTCAAAGGTTAAAATTAACATTTCCTTCATATTTGTATTCAAATTTGATACAAAATTTACAAAAAGGCACCAAAAACCCAATTCTTAGAAGTATGATCAGGGTCTGGAGAGATGTTCACAAACTGCTACAGGATACACGTAATATACCTCAATACAGTCCAGTCTGGGGCAACCAGATGTTCACACCTGGTAGAGAGGATGTGGCCTTCAAACTGTGGTACAATAAGGGTATTAAAAAATTCAAGATGTCTATCTGCCTGACTCAGAGGTTCTAACGAACTTTCAAGAGCTTCAAAATAAATTCCACTTAAATAAAAATAATTTTTTAGATACCTCCAAGTTAGGAACTTTATATCAAAGAGACAAACTAATCAGCTGTGAAAACCCACTTTAACAACACTAATGTTGACAAAGGATAGTCAAAGGAAAGGTATAATCTCAGATTTTTATAATCTAATGACACCCCAGATTTCTGAGGGTTCCAGTGACGGACTCAGAGCGACGACCTGTCATTGGATGTGACAGAAGACTGGCAGAAAGCTTGCTCTTTGGCTCATACCCGTTCAGTCAATACACGCTTAAATGGTTGATGTGCATGTTCAGTCTTTCATTCAACCTTTATTTCTACAGGTAATCCCATTGAGCCTCGAGGACTCATTTACGAGAGAGACCTGAGCATGTATATAACAGCAGCAGATATAAATAGGTATAATAACCCGATGTGTGCTCTAAGTGTGTAAAGCAGAGAGGTACATTATGAATTGTATGTGGTATTGTAAAAAGGTCATACTTTTTTGGGAAGAGGTCAAAGTGGTGATGGAAAAATTATTAGTAAATGTATTATTATGGATCCCAAGTTATTTTTGCTCGGACTCTACCCTGAGAGACACAATTATACGAGGAGTGGACGGACTCCCCTGGATATTGGACTACTGACTGTCAAACACTGGAGGAAGTTCCACAGACCAACAGCAAACCAGTGGCTCCATCAAATGACGTCAGCTCTTCAACTGGAAAGGATTACTTACATACTGAAGGACAAGATGGACAAATCTGAGACAATTTGGAGACATTTCATCTCATATGTCAACAAGTTGGAGACAGAAGATCAGATTCTGAACTGCTCAAATCTTCAGAGACTGTAAGGACACTTGTTTGTTTGTTTGTCTTTGGTTTATTTACTTTTTATAATGTATACTTTACCAAGCGATGCATATAATTATACTTTCTTTGTAATGTTATTTCTTAAAAAATGCAAATAAAACAATTTTGGGGAAAAAATAAAAATCTTGTTGGACAAAGTTCAGCTGCAAGTTTTAGAAAATGAAAATAACCGAAGAGTTCGGTTCAGATAAAAAAAAACTTTTATTTATTTTGACCTCAAATTTAAAACGACTCAAAGGATCAAAACTGAAGACGAGGGACAACTTGTCTCCATGTCCCAGTCTGTGGAGCCAACATGGCCGCCCAGCTCCCTGTGTCCACACAGTATGTGGACGGACGTGTTTGTCCACAGAGCCGTGTGTGTTCGTCCTGCTGGGCCGGGTCAGAACAGAACCCACGGGCCTGACGGAGGTATGCAGGGAGTGGGCTCAGAACGCCGCGCGGGCCCTGGACTCCAACAGAGTCCTGGGTTTGTTCCTCGGGACGGACAATGAGGGACGTGTCGGAGACACGTGGGACACAAACACGGGAGACATCCTGGGACAGACGCAGGAATGTCGGTCCGGACCAGAACTCCCACTGAGAGACAGCTGATCTTCGGCTGAGAAGAAAGAACCTTCTCTGTGTCCCACGAGAGCAGCTGAAGATTTGTTTTCTTACAGATTAATCACGTTGAGCCTCAGAGACTCGTTTACAACAGAGACCTGCTTCAGACAAACACACGGAGAACACGGAGAATATGGAGAACACGGAGAATACGGAGAACACGGAGAACACGGAGAATACGGAGAACACGGAGAACACAGAGAACACGGAGAACACAGAGAACACGGAGAACACGGAGAATACGGAGAACACGGAGCCTTGATCTGTCCATGTGGACAGCAGCTGCAGCTTTCAGTCCAGCTTCTTTCTCCATACTCCCAGTCCATGGTGATCTAGAACTGTCTTCCCGGTGGACAGGAACACTCGGGGACAGGGACATTAGTGCACATAGACATTGATGGACAGTGACACCGAGGGACAGGGACAGTGGTGTTCCAGGAGGATCCAGTTCATGGTGGTTTGCAGTCTTGGTGGTTCCTGAACATCAGAACCAGTTTCTCTCCATCTGAGAGTGACAGACGAGTGTCCACTGAGTCAAACAAATCAGCTGAAGTCAATCTGATCACAAAGAGGAAGTCAACAGGAAGTCCTCTTCAAATTAAAAGCCTTTTTAGCTCCACAGATTTAGGTGAGTGTATGTATACATTTGACCCAGTGTGGACCAGAGAAAATCCTACAAAACTCAAATACGTTTTTTAATCAGTCCACTCTGAACAAGAACGATTCATTTTCTACAAAAATAATCCCTGAAGATTATGTAAAATATTCTGACACAAGAACAGTTACTAAAAATGAAATGTCCAATTTATTCAGATTAGGATTATCTTAAAACGTCCCCGTGTGTCCCCCACGAGCAGCCGTTGTTTATTTTAGTCAAAATAAAAACTTTGATCAAAGTTTTGATGAGCTCCAAACATCAGCGTGATGCATTCACTGACCCTCAGAAATATGACGTTCTAACTGGTTCTCACTCATCAAACTGAAGTGTCTTAGTTTATGAGACCGTGGTGAGACCATTGTATGGTCTGGAGACAGACACATGGACAAAGAGACAGGAGACAGACATGGACAAAGAGACAGGAGACAGAGACATGGACAAAGAGATAGGAGACAGAGACATGGACAAAGAGACAGGAGACAGAACTGGAAGTGTCAGAAATGAAGATGTTGAGGTTCTCCTTAGGAGAGACAAGGATGGAGAAGATCAGGAATGAGATCATCAGAGGTACAGCACAGGTTGAACAACTGGGAGATAAAGTTAGAGAGGACACACTGAGATGGTTTGGACATGTCCAGAGGAGGGACAGTGGTTTGGACATGTCCAGAGGAGGGACAGTGGTGTGGACATGTCCAGAGGAGGGACAGTGGTGTGGACATGTCCAGAGGAGGGACAGTGGGCATATTGTTAGAAGGATGTTAGAAATGCAGCTGCAGGAAAAACACAAAGAGGAGATACATGGATGCAGTTAGAGAGGACATGGAGGTAGATGGAGTGAGGACAAATGAGGACTCACTGTGGAGACCCCTGACGAGGGAACAGCTGAAAGAAGAACTTTAGTTTGACCACGTGTCACCTTCTGACTCTGAACTTGTTCCTCTTAAGGAACAAACTAACTTTTTGTCTTTTGTCTCCAAATTTGAAGTTTGTCTTTGTTTGTCTTTCCAGAGTCCTGAAGGTGTCTTCAGTCTAAACGTTGAAGTGAGTGCAGTCAAACAGCAGCTGTTAGTTTACCGCTAGTAAACATCTGGATGTCAACATCTGGATGGCTGAAGGCCGATGATTCCATGGACAGCAGCACGAGCCGCGGCTCAGAGAACAAAGCTGTCCTTTGTTCGGCTCCTCGACGTCACGCTCGCAGCCTGCTGGGGGCGGAGTCAGTTCCCTGGTTCTGGCAGCACCGTGGGTGGAACCAGGTTTACTGCAGGTTCCTCTTCTGAATGAAACAGTCAAGAGTTTTTATAGTTTAATGTTCCCAAAAGACCAAGAGTCCAGAAAGTTACAGAGCAGTTCACTCAGGGATTTAACATTTTGTTGGTAAACACTGAACAACAATCATTTGTGTGTCGTTGAGGATCCAAACAAGCAGAAAGGTCAGAAAGGTCAAGAATACAAGAACTGAAAGTAAAGGAACTAAAAGTACCAAAACCAGAAACTAAACGTCTAAACAGGAAGTACAGTTCAGCTGATCTCGAACAATTAAAGACAAGCCGCAACTGAAGAACATGAAGCTCTCAGAGGTCATGAAGGTCTCAGAGGTCATGAAGGTCTCAGAGGTCATGAAGGTCTCAGAGGTCATGAAGGTCTCAGAGGTCATGAAGGTCTCGGAGGTCATGAAGGTCTCGGAGGTCATGAAGGTCTCGGAGGTCATGAAGGTCTCAGAGGTCATGAAGGTCTCAAAGATGACATCCATCCAGATACGGGTTCAGGTCTTGGTTCTTGCAGTGTGCACGCCAGGCCACCCTGAAACCACAAAACAAAGATGAATCCAGAAATAAAGCTCAAGGCCGTGAACACGTCTCCGTCACATGATCTCACCAGGCTCCGAGTCCTGCAGGATCCTCAACAACTCGTTTAGCGCAGTTAATCGCCTTGTCCACGTCGTCAGTCAGGAGATCTGGAACAACAGTTGTGGCACTTTTTAAAGTCACGCTTGGTGGACCTGACTGAGAATCAGTAAAATATGTAGGACGTGGTTAGTTTGGAGTTTCTTCACTGACCGCTGCAGCTGACTTGGCAGGCGTTGGACGATTGGGTGTGTCCGTCATCGCACCAGCGGCTGTTGATCTGGAAGATGCCGATGTCACTGGATCTGTCAGAGTTGTGTTTGAAAGCCCGGGTGTTGTAAGTGGACACCCAGCGGGTCAGACAAACCCCTTCAGGTAAAACACATGGATTAAGGACAACCTTTAGATTCACCCGGATGTGCACTAAAGAGTAATAATAATAATAATAATAATAATAATAGTGTGAAAAGCTGTTGCACATTAATGTAGGCTGCAGGATCAGGTCTGACTGCCGGAGGTTTATCTGACGTCAGGACGTCGTTGACGGCTGCACAGACGTCCTGCAGCTCATGACGGGTCAGTATCAGCAAAAACTATTTAGAAACCAGCGTTTTGTCACGGGCAGAGTTTTAAGAAAATAATAATCTTTAAAAAATAAAATAATGTTGAAACTCCTGTTCAAAGAGCAGCAGACATGAGTGTCTGAAAACAAGGCCTGCCTTTCTGCTGTGGACCTGAAGGGTCCGGGGGTCTGGAGCGTCTTCACAGAACTCTGGGCTGGATTATTTTGGGGGAAATGCTTTTTTAATTCTTCTTCATAAATCGCTGCAACATAAATTCTGTCGGTTTTTAAAAACAAAAGATTCTTAAAAAGTTCATTTTTCTTCTTTCGGCTGCTCGTTCTTCAGGGGTCACCACAGAACTAACTCTCATGAAGTGATTGTTTTTACTCCAGATGTTCTTCCTGACTCTGTGTGGAGCGGGGGCTGACATCTGGGACGCCCAGGGGAGCAGATTCTACTTTCAATTTCTTTATCAAGTTTTCGACATTAGGAAAAGACTTTACTCTTTACTTTATATTTGCTTCCATTAGGTAAAGTTATTAAACAGCATGGGATAAATGTTCATTGTTATGCTGATGACACACAGTTATATTTGTCCATTAAACCCAATGAATCCAATCAGCTACTTAGACTACAAGCATGTCTTAAAGACATAAAAACCTGGATGACCCTTAATTTTCTCCTGTTGAACAGACAAGACTGAGGTTTTGGTTTTTGGACCTGAGCACCTTAGGAATGAATGTTTCAGTCTTTCTCCCTCCTTAGATGCATTAATCTGTCCTCCAGCTCTAATGTTAAAAATCTTGGTGTTATTTTTGATCAGGACATGTCTTTTATCCCCCACATTAAAAACGTTACTAGAACCTCCTTCTTCCACCTGTGTAATATCACTAACATTAGAAACATCTGATCTAAAGATGATGCAGAAAAACTGGTCCATGCATTTGTCACGTCTAGACTGGACTATTGCAATGGTTTATTATCTGGGTGTCCAAATACTTCTTTAAAACGTCTTCAGTTGATCCAAAATGCTGCTGCCAGAGTCTTAACTGGAGTTACTGGGAGAGATCATATCTCTCCAGTTTTAGCTTCTCTCCATTGGCTCCCTGTCAAATCCAGAATAGAATTCAAAATCTTACTTCTAACCTACAAAGCTCTCAACAACCTAGCTCCATCTTATATTACAGATCTTATTGTTCCATATTTTACTAACAGAGCACTGAATTTAATTGAAGTGGTTCAAGGTTCTGCCTCTGAACTTTATTTTCTACCTCCCATTCAGCTGTTTCCTGTCAGACTGACAGTTTGTACTCACAGTTGGCCAGGCTGACTCCTTTGTATCCGTCCATCCCATGCTCCTTCAACGTCCGAGCCCAGTCGCAGCGCTCAAAGACCTTCCCGTTGGCTCCAGCCACCAGCAGCAGTGCAAACACCAGGAACTTCATCTTGCTCTTTCTGCTGGACACAGTGTTTGTCTGCTTTTATAGTCAGTTCTGTGGGTGGTTCCTACGGTGGACAGGTGCAAACGAGTTGCACCTGTCGAGATAAAATCTGCAATTACAGAAAACAGAAGAAAAACAATGAACAAAAGAAATGCAAATGAAAAATGCTGCAAATTCCAAAAAACATCAAAACAACTGGAAGTAAGAAACACTGCAAACTCCACAAAACACCAGGAGGAGACTGGACCAGCAAGTCCTCTGGAACCAGACCCTGTAACACTTTACAGCTGAGCAGATAGTTTCTAAAGTCAGAATACTTTCAGAGTCTGTGAGGAGTTATCAAATGTCTCAACTAAAGAGAGCGTTTGGAGCTTCTGGTTGACTCTTTTAATCATCACTGCCTTCCTGTTCTTGACAGTAATGCTCCGTACAAAACCCGCTCTGGGCCCGTTTACCCCAGTTCACCTTGGTTAAACAATCAAACCCGAGAACTCAGGCGCTGTTGTTGGAAAACAGGACGCCTGTGGAAGAGGACTGGTCTGGTTGCCCTCTGGGAATATTTTAAGGAGCCCTTGATGCTTTTAACAAGGCAGTTAGTGATGCCAGGTCATCTTATTTTATCAGACTCATTCACCAGAACAAAAACAAAGTGTTATTTGATACGATCAGGAGTATTGTATCTCCCCCGGCGCACCAGGCTTCATTAACCTCAAACAACGACTGTAACGTGTTCCTCAGTTTTTCATAAAGAAGGTGAAGGACCTGAAATCCAATTTATCTCTGAGCTCCTCTACTTTTCAAGATCTGAGTCATTTTCTTCTTTTGTTCCGATGATTTTAAACGACCTGACCTCTTTATTTGGCACAAAGAAACTCTGCTGGTTTACTGGAAATATTACACCCCCCCCCCCCCCCGCTTGTTCAGACTCTAGCCTGTATGGGTCCAACAGTGTTGATGATAATTAACAACCCCCTGAACAAAGGGTTCGTCCCATCGTATTTTAAAACAGCAGAAGTGACCCCCCTCTTAAAGAAGCTTCATCTTGATTTGGCTCCTTTTCCACCTTCGGTCCCGTCTCTAAATCAGTTCTCAGTAAATTACTTGAAAAAGTTGTAGAAACCCAACTCAGATCCTGGTTCTGTCAGTTACAGATCTCTGATCCCTTTCAGTCTGGTTCTCTAAAACACTATTCCACTGAAACTGGTCTAGTAAAAGTCCACAACGCTCTGTTAATGGCTGCTGATGAAGGAAAATGCTCGGTGCTGGTCCTGTTAGATCTTAGCGCTGCCTTTGATACCATCGACCACACAACCTTATTAAACAGACTGAAGGTTGTGGCTGGTATTTCTGGCTCAGCTGCGTCAAGATGGACAGGTTCTTCTCTGGCTATGCTCCCTTAACTTGTGGGGTGCCACAAGGCTCAGTTCTGGGTCCACTTTTGTTTTCCTTTTATATTATCCCACTTGCCGGCATTATTCAATCCTTTTCTGATATTTCCTATCACGTTTATGCTGATGACGTTCAGTTGTATATTTCATTTAGACCACACCAGCTGGATAAGTTGGCCATCCGTGTCCAATGTTTGTCCCGTATCAGTGACTGGCTTGCCAGTAACTTTTTGGCTTTAAACACCAGTAAGACAGAGACTTTGATTACAGCTCCCAATCACCTTCATACAAAAATCAATCAGACAGTTGCCTCTTTCTGCCCAGTAGCCAAATCAAAAGTCAAAAATCCAGGAGTCACATTTGACTCATCGTTAGAATTGAGTGTCACATTAGAGATATTTCCCGTTCTTGTTTCTTTCATTTAAGAAACGTTTCTAAAATACGACCTCTGGTCTCCAGAGTTGACCTTGAGAAAATTATTCATGTTTTTGTGTCATCATGTCTGGACTATTGTAATGTCCTTTTTACCTGCCTGGACAAGTCTTCTGTCTCACGTCTACAAGTGATACAGAACACAGCTGCCAGACTTCTCACCAAATCCAGTAGATCCAGTCACATCACTCTGGTTCTATATTCACTGCACTGGTTCCCAGTGGAGTTTAGAATCTGTTTCAAAGTTCCTGTGCTGATGTTCAGAGCTTTAAATGGCTCCTGTGTATCTTTGTCAGTTTCTAACCAAACACTCTGCTGCTCGTGGCCTTGGGTCCCAGACACAGAACCTCTTGGTTGTTCCACGGACACGGCTGAAAACTAAAGAGGACAGGACCTTTCAGTCTGTGGCCCCCAGGCTGTGGACCACTTTGACCTGCAGCTTCAGACTCTGTGGAGGTTTTTACAAAGCAGCTGAAAACACTTTTGTTCTCCCAGGCTTTTTTAAATTCTTTGTATATTTTGGTTTTGATTTTTACTGTACAGCGCTTGGTGATTTAATGTCTGCGCTCTATAAATAAACTTTACTTACTTACTTGGTAATGTAAGGAAACAAAAAGTAGGTAGCTACTTTGAGTGACTTTTTTACACGGTCTGGTACCAGATAGCTGGTGGTCCAGTCCCCCTCCTAGTCTGGTGCTCTTCTCTTTTTCTCTATCACTTCATCCAGATCTTTCTCCTCCTCATCACATCCAACCTGTGGAGCATAACCACTAACGATGTTTAGCATCAGACCTTCTACTTCTACCTTCAGACACATCACCCTATCTGACACTCTCTTCACCTCTACTACATTCTTTGTCAACTCCTCCTTCAGGACCATCCCTACCCCATTCCTCTTTCTATCCACACCATGGTAAAACAGTTTGAACCCTGCTCCAATGCTGCGAGCCTTGCTGCCCTTCACTTGGTCTCTTGGACACATAAAACATCTACCTTCCTTCTCAGCATCATGTCAGCCAGCTCTCTACCTTTGCCTGTCATTGTCCCCACATTTAGAGTTGCAACCCTCAGTCCTACATTCTTCACTTTCCTCTTCTCCTCTATCTCCTGACACATTTCCCTCCTCGTGATTTTTGAAAATGAGCAGTAAAAACAACAACAACAACAATAACAACAATCCATCCATCCATCTTCCGCTTGTTTCGAAGTTGGGTCTCGGGGGCAGCATCAGAGCAGGGAGGTCCACACATCTCTTTCCACAGCCAGAGTTCATGACCAAAGGTGAGGGGAGGAACGAAGACCGACCAGTAAACAGAGAGCTTTGTCTTACAGCTCAGCTCTCTCTTCACCACAATGGACCGGCACAGAGTCCACAATACTGCAGATGCTGCACCAATCCATCTGTCAGTCTCATGCCAGTCGTGGCCAGGATTCTCTTGCAAGAGATTTTTAATCTCAGTGGGATTTTCCTGGTGAAATAAAGGTTAAACAAAAATAAACAAAATGTTCCTCCTGGATCTGAGGTTCGACCAACGATCAGATCCAGTACCTGAACAGACCTTACCAGGGAGGATAAGGAGAGTGATGTCCCTGTACCTGGAGCACACCCTCCACTCCCCCTTTCTGAAGAGGGGAACCACCACCACCAGTCTGCCAATCCAGTGGCACTGCCCCCGATGTCCACGTGACGTTGCAAAGGTGTGCCAGTCAAGACAGCCCCACAACATCCAGAGCCTGAAGGAGATCAGGGAGGATCTCATCCACCCCCGGAGACCTGCTGCCATGGAGCTTTTTAACCTCAGTGACCTCAGCCACAGTTATGGACGGATCAACCCTGAAGTCTCCCGACTCATCTTCCTCCATGGAAGACGTGCTGGTGGGACTGAGAAGGTCCAAGAACTATTCCTTCCACCTCCCGATGACATCACTGGTTGAAGTCAACAGCACCACCTTCACTGAACAGCGTTAGTAAAGAGCTGCTTCCCCTCTCTGTCCAGGATGTGAACATCTTCATCCCTGAAAGAGTGACCTCTGGCCTGGAGATGAGTGTAGACCTCAGAGTCCTGGCCTGATGATGTTGATCTTCTGTGCTGGTCCATCCTTTTGGCCAGTGGCTGTTTAGTTTCCCCGATGTAAGACTGATCACCCTCCTGACACTGAACAGCATACACAACATTACTCTGTTTGTGCCGGGGGACTGGATCTTTGGGATGAACCAGTCTTTAATGTATTTTGGGGTTTAAAAGCCACTGGGACGTTATGTTTAGAAAATAAACGTCTCAGTTTCTCTGATACTCCCTCAACATCTGGAATGACCACTGGTCTGGGTCTGGGTTCCTCCTTTTCACCTGGTGCTGACTGGAGTCAGGTGCTTGTGTGTGGGACGATTTTTTATTTCCTTTTTTTGTCTTAAATCCGTTATTGTCAATAAAAACAGAAGTTTGATTTGACAACAAAAGGTTAAATTAATGTTAGAATAAAGAAGAAGGATTCTTGTTCAACTGTGACCAATAAAGTGTGAAATAAATTCCCAGCATCCTCTTTCAGTCTGACGGGAAGAACTTTGTGTTCCTGTTTTTAATAAAGTGTTCAATAAAAACAGAAGATTTAGAAATTATCAGAAGTGATTAAAACTAAAACAGAACAGTTTCTCTTCTATTAACGTTTATTCTTTATTTATTACAGCTTCACTTTGTTCCACAGCTTTAGATTCTTTTACAGGACTTTATTGTTTGCAGCTGTGAGAATAACAACTAATCTCAGACATTTATCCTTAAATAAGCTTTAATTTAGTTTGTTCATCTGTTTCTTGATTTTGAAAACCCCTCTGGATCTTTTCAAAGCTTTAAGAAGAAGAAGTCTGAGACGTTGTTAGTTGTTGTGTTCCAGGTTTAACTAAAGTGAAGCTGCAGACAGAAAGTGAAACTTCTGATTTGGACCCGGGATCAGTTCGACAACAGGAAGAGAAGCAGCTCAGACATTTCAGCAACGGTGAGTTTATTTTATTCTGAAACTTTGTTCTTACTAACTTTCCATTTGGTTTCTGCTCTTTGATGTTTGGGGAAAATGTTGACTTTAAATGATCAAACTACAATGATCTCGATCCAAATGAGATTAAGGGGCCGTTTACACGGTTTACATTTTGAGTGAATCCGCTCCGTTCTCTCTGCTGATCATTTACACGACACCAGTGCCCCCCCACCCCCACCCCCCTGAATCCAGATGTTTCTGAATCCACCTTCCAGAGTGGAGGTTTTTCACTGACCCCCGCTGATAATGGAAACATCTCCCGCTGAGGCTTTGTGTGAATTCCTCTGGTTGCATGTAAACACTAATCCGACCGTGTCAACGCGGATCTTTTCCTCTAAAAACCTACGTTTCCCCCATCGTGTCCGTGTAAACAGGAAGCGAATCGTTTCATTTCTTTACGAGGGACATCACCAGAACTGAACCAGGACCACAAAAGAAGTTCTTTAAAACTTTTCATAAGATATTAACAGGTTTCATTAGTTAATTCATTACTAGTTGTCAGCCTGATGTTCAGACATCTGGTCAGGATGGACCCTGGACACCTCCATAGGGAGGTGCTCTGGACATGTCCAACTGGGAGGAGACCCAGGACACACTGGAAGCACCATGTCTCTGAGCTGGTTGGATGATTGATGGATGATTGATGGATGGATGGTGTGTGGACATTGAACAGGACTTGTCTTTTGGTTGGAGGACAGCAGTAACATTCTGCAGGGACTAAAACCAGCAGGTTGATGGATGTTAGCGGCGCTGCAGTTCCATCACTCCATCTAGTGGACAGCTTGATGAACTGCAGCTGCCCCTCACCTGTCTGACTGACAGGAAACTGGAATAAAGAGCCAATCAGAGGAGCAGCTGATTGTTTGCAGCACGCATGGTAGAGAGGATAATAAGAGATGATGTGCAGGTGAACCATGTGTTTCCTCTGCAGGTGAAGGTGAGCTGCTGTGGAGCATGGATCAGGCTGAGGTCAGAGTTCTGCCCTCTAGAACCGCTCTGTGTGGAGAACATGAGATCCAAAGCAAAGAGCACAGGTGAGACGAGTGGGTTTCCCAGTTTCACATGCTCACCCCTTCATTTCATTTTTGCAGTTTTAAATGTTTTGGTGTCAAATTATTTACCTGAACATTTGGACTTTTATTTCACAAACACCTCCAGCAGTTTTACAGCAGCTAAGGGTTAAATTAAAGCTCATCCATTCATTTTATTTATCCCCATGGGGCCATTTAACAAATGGAGCATTAAAAGCTGCTGCAACAACTCAAAGAACCCAAACAGAACCACACAACTTAACATAAATAACACAAAGTGCACACGTACATGAACACACAGGCATCATCAACAGATCAAACCAGATATGGTTTAGGCAGCATGACCATCAGTCAGAGATTCAGCTCAGTTTATTCTAAAGCTCCAAGTCACAACAGAATCATCCCAGGGACTGAACAGAAGCATTCATGTATAAAATAATAATTTAACAGAAACATTCATGTATAAAATAATAATTTAACAGAAACATTCATGTATAAAATAATAATTTAACAGAAACATTCATCTATAAAATAATAATTTAACAGAAACATTCATCTATAAAATAATAATTGAACAGAGTAATGTTGTGTATGCTGTTCAGTGTCAGGAGGGTGATCAGTCTTACATCGGGAAACTAAACAGCCACTGGCCAAAAGGATGGACCAGCACAGAAGATCAACATCATCAGGCCAGGACTCTGCGGTCTACACTCATCTCCAGGCCAGCGGTCACTCTTTCAGGGATGAAGATGTTCACATCCTGGACAGAGAGGAACGATGGTCTGAGAGAGGAGTAAAGGAGGCCATCTTTGTGAAAAGAAACCGTCCATCATTAAACAGGGGTGGAGCCTCCAGGTTCAACTGTCCCCCTCTTACAATGCTGTGATTGCTAGTATCACTCAGCCCTCTGTGAACAGTAAACAGCCATCAGGTGCTAATGATCCATTGTTAGGCTGATGGTCCTTCTTGAGCATGTGAGCAGCTCGTTCTGGTTGTCAGCAGCAAACTGGTTGATCCACTCTGAGAAGGTGCTATTTAAGAGACTGAGCTGAAAACAGCACCTCAGACTGAAGAAGTCTCTCGGACGAGAGACGAAACGTTTCTACATTTTTTGTTGTTTTGCTTTGTTTTGGGTTTTTTTGAATGTCCAGAGGACCAGATTTAACTTTTTTAGATTCATGTATAAAATAATAATTTAACAGAAACATTCATGTATAAAATAATAATTTAACAGAAACATTCATGTATAAAATAATAATTGAACAGAAACATTCATCTATAAAATAATAATTTAACAGAAACATTCATCTATAAAATAATAATTAACAGAAACATTCATGTATAAAATAATAATTGAACATTATTTATCTGAGGAGCAGCTTTGAGTTTAACTCCATCACTGAACTCTCATCTTGAACAAGCATGAAGGCGACAGTGGAAAGAAAAACTCCCTCATGATGAAGAAACCTTTAGCAGAACCAGGATCAGGACAAGAGGACCATCTGCTTCAACCGGCTGGGTTTGGTAGGAATAGATACACAATGGCAGGTCAAGAATCACATGTTAAGATAGAAATAGTATCAAATGAAAACTATTCATTTTTTACAATTCATTTAAGGAAATTAGGTCAATTTGTCCTCTAGTAGTCTAAGTCTATAGCAGCATAACAAGCCAACCCTAACTATAGGATTTATTGTAGATGAACAGATGCTCAGATATATTCATCAATTAACGCGGATTCCTCATTTTTCTGAACTGAATAAAACGTGCATTGAATTTAATGAAATGCAAACGTGAGACGTCATTTATGTTTGACCCATCAAAATGAATGCGGTCATTTATTTACAGAATCAAAATTTAACATCAAACATTTACATTAATTTGGCAAATTATGAAAATAACAACATAATCAATCAATCAGGAAAAATCATACGGCCATGATTTTTCCGTTGCTTCACCACAGACATTTATGAAACTGTACAATTATGATCTTTTACCCACACGGATGTGGATGAGCATTTTACACAGACAGTTCTAAATATCTGGAAGAATATCTACTTGATAGAAAAGTTTAAAGATGAGAAAGAAGTTTAGAGGGAGTAAAGATGGTATGGGAGGGGAAGTGTTCACCAGAATTGACACTCTCCATCAGAACCCAGCTCTCCTCGGTACGCTTGGTAGGAAACTTGACTCATTACCTTTCTGAGGTTAATCAGCAGATATGGAGCTCCGTTAACGCTACCTGTCCAGCGTCTCCTTAGGATGCTGTGAATCGTCAGAAGTAGTGGCGAGTGAAAATGTTATAATCCCATGGAACTCGGAAGAGCTCTGTTGTCATGTCAGGATCATCCCGTCTCCCAGAACTGGGCTTCTCCGCACAGAACTGGACAGAACTTCTTTAGAGCTTCAACAGAACTGAGTAGTTTACAGATCTCGAGCAGAGCTGTGTAAACCAGGAAGTACTGACATTTTAAAGAGCTGTTTTTCCGGTCCATCTGGGAGTATTCCCATTGGCCAGAACCGACCAGACGGGGTGTGTTTTGTGACGTAAAAGGTTAGAAGACAGCAAGAATTGTTATGGAAAGATCAGAAATGTTCTCACAGACAGAGAGAGTTTTGTTTTGGCGCGTTTCAGAAACAGGTGCCGAAACACCTCTATATTTACGTCTGAGAGGATTCTAAAACATGACAGTTCGTTCCAACAACTTGTTTTGCGTTTGACTCCAACCTTGGACCAACTTACACTTGCTCATTCAAAGGCAGAAATCAGAAAATGCATACAAATCTGTAACAGACCTCAACATGAATTCTAACTTTGCATGAGAAAAAATCATCACACAGTTAATAAAATTGATTAGTTCACTGCAACATCTAAAATGGTTTGAACTAAGACACTTTGATTATCAACATTTGTAAAATAGTAATGATAATAAAAAGAGAGTGTTCTTTTCACTTGAATCTTCAAGAAAGAAAGTCTCAGGATGGGTGAACCTGCATTTCTGGATTCAAATCAATAAAATGACAGTTCCTGTCCCACAAGGTTCTTAAGGTCAAGGGTTTTGACCTTAGGCTTAGTCGTGACACCAGATTAAGTTCACTACATTATTAAAAAGGAAAGACTTAATCCCAGTCTTCAAACTAATAAGTTATAAACATGGCGTAGAATAGAGGTGCACCGATTGCAGTTTTCTGGCCGATCACTGATTTCTAAAAAGTCTGACCTGACGATTCCGATTTTAGCCGATACTGATTTAGTTTTATCAGCGACACTCAGGTGTTATAAGTTCACAATGCACCTTCAATTTTCCAATATTATTTTATTGACAAACAGACCCTTGAACAATATTTTAGAAACAATACAAACATGTTTTAACTGGCCATGAGGTAGTGCTCTGAAATATAATGAAGTTCAGACAATTGTTGTTAAAACTAAAAAAATTGGTAAAATAGGTTTCTCGTGCAAGTATTGGCCGATTTCCCAAAATTAAGGAAATCGTCTGGCTGATTTTTTGGCGCACCCCTAGCTTAGATATGTTGACTAGCTGGATAAAGTCTTTTAAAATCACAGACCAGATTTAAAGGTGGACAGAGAAGCTGAACTGTCAACTGATCACCACCTGTAGTGAGTTGGATCAGATGGTGGAGGAAGATTCTGGACAGACCCGGTAGACCCAAACATCTAGTGAAGGTTTGTTGGGAACTCCTGGCAGAAGAACCCATCAGAAATATCTTCAACTCAGAGAGCTTTAACTTCATCCCAGCTGAGGTGGGGACATTGAGTCTGAGTGGACCATGTTCCATATCTCATTTGTGGAGGTATCTGCTTTGAGTGGCTTCAGGGTTGTCCGTGCTTCTCACGGTGGTCATCCTCAAAGTTGATGGTGGACACCCCGAGTTAGGGAGGCTGTCAAGATGAAGGAGTCCTACTAGGCCTTGTTGGTCGGTGGGACTGCAGAGACAGTTGAGGAGTACCGGAGGACCAAATGGTCTGCAGCCTTGGCTGTTGTTGAAGCAAAAGCTCGGATGTGGGAGGAGTTTGGTGAGACCTTGGATAAAGACTCTCTGTCGGCTCCGAGGAGATTCTGACAAACCATCAGGAGGCTGAGGAGGAGAAGCAGCTCTTTACTAACACTGTTCAGTGAAGATGGTGCTGCTGACTTCAACCAGTGATGTCGTTGGGAGATGGAAGAAATACTTCTCAGACCTTCTCAGTCCCACCAGCACGTCTTCCATGGAGGAAGATGAGTCGGGGGTCTTCAGGGTTGATCCGTCCATAACTGTGGCTGAGGTCACTGAGGTTAAAAAGCTCCAAGGCAGCATGTCTCTGGGGGTGGATGAGATTCACCCTGATCTCCTTAAGGCTCTGGATGTTGTAGGGCTGTCTTGACTGGCACACCTTTGCAACATTGCATGGACAATGGGGGCAGTGCCACTGGATTGGCAGACTGGTGGTGGTGGTTCCCCTCTTCAAAAAGGGGGAGCGGAAGGTGTGCTCCAGTTACAGGGACATCACTCTCCTCAACCTCTCTGGTAAGGTCTGTTCAGGGGTTCTGGAGAAGAGAGTCTGATCGTTGGTCGAACCTCAGATCCAGGAGGAACAATGTGGGTTCTGTCCTGGCCATGGAACACTGGACCAGCTCTTTACCCTCACTAGGGTCCTTAAGGGGTCATGGGAGTTTACCCATCCAGTCTACATGTGTTTTGTGGACTTGAAGAAGGTTTTCGACAATGTTCCTCAAGGTACACTGTGGAGGTGCTCCGTGAATCTGGGACTGAGGGCCCGTTGCTACGGGATGCTCTGTCTCTATGCTGTTCGGCACGAGAGTTTGGTTCACATTGCCGGTAGTAAGTCGGTTTGCAGCTGAGTGTGAAGTGGCTGGGATGAGAACCAGCACCTCCAAATCTGAGGCCATGGTCCTCAGTCAGAAAAGAGTGGATTGTTCTCTTTGGGTCGAGGGTGAGGTTCTGCCTCAAGTGGAGGAGTTCAAGTATCTCTGGGTTTTGATCACGAGTGAGGGAAGAATGGAGTGTGAGATTGACAGACAGATTGGTGCAGCATCTGCAGTATTGTGGACTCTGTACCGGTCCTTTCTGGTGAAGAGGGAGCTGAGCTGACAAGTCAAGTCAAAGTTTATTTATATAGCACATTTAAAAACCTCCACAGCTGACTAAAGTGCTTCACAATAATTTCAATATCATGGATAAAAATATGATAAAAGAATTAAAATTGAGTTTAATAAAAATAAAAGTATGATTAAAAAAATTGCAGTAAAATACCAATGAAATAATAGTACAAGTAAAAACCAATATATACCATTTCAGTTGCTGCTATTTCCCAAAAACTCAAATCAATCAGGCACTAATTTGAAGTTGAAGTGGCGTTGAAGGCCTGGGAGAATAAATGTTTTCAGTCTGGACTTAAGCTGATCTACTGACAGAGAGATCTTCACAGACGGAGGGAGGCTGTTCCACAGTGTGGGTTTTGCCACAGAGAAGGCTCTGTCACCTCTAGTCTTCAACCTCACCTTAGGGACAGCCAGCAAGAGCTGGTCAGCTGATCTCAGGACTCTGGCTGGAGCTGCAACAGCTTGCTTAAGTAAGATGGGCCCATGGAGTTTAAACACTTAAAAACAATCAATAAAACTTTAAATTTCACCCAAAAAGCAACATGGAGTCAGTGAAGGGTGTGAAAAAATGGGGGTAAAAGATACACGCCTCCTTGTATTCATCAACAGAAGGATTGCAACGTTTTGGATTCTCTGCAATCGCTGCAGGAAGCTCTGGTCCAACCCTAAATACAAAAAGTTACAATAATCTAAACGCTGTAAGACAAAGCTCTCTGTTTACAGGTCAGTCTTCGTTCCTCCCCTCACCTCTGGTCATGAACTCTGAGTAGAAACTGAAAGAATGAGATCGTGGATCCAGGAGGTTGAAATGAGTTTCCTCTGCAGGGTAGCTGGACTCTCCCTTAGAGACAGGGGGAGAAGTTCAGCATCAGGAGAGACTCAGAGTAGAACCACTGCTCCTCCACATCCAAAGGAGCCAGTTGAGGTGGTTCAGACATCTGTTAAGGATGCTCCCTGGACACCTCCCTATGGAAGTGTTTTGTGCACGTCCGACTGGGAGGAGACCCTGGGGAAGACCTAGGACACACTGGAGAGACTACATCTCTCTGATGGTCTGGGAACACCTTGGAGTCCTCCCAGAAGAGCTGGAAGAGGCTGTGGACAGAGATGTCTGGACCTCCCTGCTCAAGATGCTGCCCCCGTGACCTGACTTCATAACAAACGGAAGATGATGGATGGATGGATGGAATAGTTGGATAAGTAGACAAATGGTGTAAAATATGTAAATAAATAGACAGTTAAAAATGCATGCATCAGTAAGCCATAAAATACATTATTAAAATAAATAGATGCCATTGTGCAGCCAGAGCAAGTCAAGGCTTAGAGTTTAGAAGTTAAGGAGGAAGGTCGTCTTCCTCCTTTGTGTCCTGCAGCTGAGACAACAGAGTCCGTGTCCTGACCGGGGCCACTGAAACTGAAAGCAGGACATGGGTGGGATCTTGAAGCATCCTATGAGCTGTGTTCATTCGGCTAATCGCGTACATCCAGGAGAGAGCCGATTGGCTCTGACAATGATTGTGAAATGGTTTCTGTTTTGCAGATGGAATGAAACCAGAGAAAGTTCTTACATTTTCAGTAATAGCATAATAAATGGGGTCAGATGTTCTCGTTGGTCCCAAATGAGTTCAGATTTCTGAGCAATTATAGTCTCTGATGACATTTTATCATAATTTTCTCAGTTTGAGGAAAACCTCAGCAAGTTGTCAAAGACTTCTCCAAGGTATTGGTACTCCTTCACAATTTCCACTGAGTCTCCAAGAATCTGAGCAATGACAGCCTCAGCCATCTGCCTCTGGGAGAGAAGGTCACTATCATCTCCTTAGTTTTACTGGTGTTGAACTCCAAGCACGAGTGCTCACACAGCTCGACAAAACTCTGCAGAGCCAGGCCAAGCTGCTGTGTGGGACCAGAGAGCAGGGACAGAAGTACCATGTCATCAGCAAACTTTACCATGTGGGAATCAGGCTAGACAGATCTGAGGTCATCTGTATGTAAAATGAAAAGAAGTGGGGCGAGGACACAGCCTTGCGGTGAGCCAGTGGAGGTACAGGGGATGTCTGATAGGGCGCCATACAAATACTCTCTGTGACCTGTCGGTAAGAAAGTCTTATTAGTTGATGTGGATGTGGATGCGTGTGATGAGCCTTTCGGCTGAGATGTGTGGCTGCATGGAGTTAAAAGCAGATGAAAGGTCTGCATACAGGATTCTAGCTGAGGGTTAGTGTTGGTCCTCTTCAGGGCTCTCACCACCTCTGCTCAGTTGTCAGGTCTTAGTGGAAATGAGTGATTGTATCTGAGTGCCGTTCAAACCTGGAATAAAGACTGTTCTGATCATTGTGGAGTGAAGAAGGGCAGCTGCCTGCAACCTGAATGGTTTTTGTAGCTGGTGGAGACAGTTCACTGCTGCCAAGCTGAACAAAGCTGCTTCCTTTAACCAACAAGTGAAGCTCTTCGCTCAATCTCGTTTTTAACTGTAGAAATAAAAACGGTCCGGTTGTCTTCTATTTCACCTCTAGGAATGTGCTTCAGTTGTCCTCTAAGGGTCTGAGTGGAGCAGATATGGTTCTTCTCCTTTTCATGTTGTTAAAATGTTTGGTCACAGACATGAACCAGAACCAGAACCCAACTGTTTGTCCACGCTGAGCAAAAGTATTTTGTGGGACTTTAAAGGTGAACCTTCATCCAACAAACAGTAAGTTTTTTAAATGAGTCTGGATAATATTCAGCAGGACAAATTATTGTTTGTAAAATCACTCCATAGTTTAAGTTTGATTTAATTTATAGCCTTATAGAGGCACATATTTTTATTTGGCCAGCATTGTGTTTTACTTTGTTTTCTAACAGTATCCATCAGAAAGTCAGGTCTGAAGCAGAACCTGAACCCAGGCACGTTCCCTTTGGAAGCGACGGGTCAAAGTGTCTGGATTTTGATGTGACATCGGACCAGCCTCCTGCTGCAGACAGGTGAGCTCTGTAAACTGAGTCTGTTTATTCCAACATGTGTTTGACACGAGCCCAGCTCTTTAAAACATGCTTCTATGTTCAGGTGTGTTCACTGGAAGGGTAAATCATGGATGTAGTTGGAGGCGTCCTGGATGCTTCTGTCATATTTATCAGCTCTGGTCTGGTTGGTTTTAGTCTTCATCCTTCAAGACATTTGTCTTGGACTCCCACAGATTGGTTCTGTTACATGACAATGAGATAACCGGAGCCCGATAGAAACGGTCAAATATCACATTTTCCCGTAAAATGGACCAAGAGGTTCTGACTGACTCAAGGAGCTTAAAGAATATTTACCCTAAAATGTTACAAAAACGCTGACGTGGCAGCACAACTTATAAAAACTGAGGGTTGACACGGGAAAAACCAGCCGTGGCATAAAAACCAACAAATCTCCACTAAGGAATTGATGAAGGCTGAGGAACTACAAGGACCAGGTCACCGGAGGGACTGGAGGGGAGTGGAAACACCTGGCATAGGTGATGTCGCCTCCTCTTCTATGGGATGCTCTGAAGGTGGTCCGAAGAGGAAAAGTTATAGCAATATCCTCTTATAAGAATAAGATGAAAAATAACCCATTAGAAGAATTACAGAATAAACCAAAAGATTTAGAGAAAATACATAAAATAAAAATGGATAAAGACTTACGGAAGGAAATCACAAAAACAAGAAATAAAATTAAGGATTTAAACTGCACACAAAATAAAAACATTCTTAAACAAAGATAATATGAAGGTGGATCTAAATCTATGAAGGTCCTCGCTTGGAAACTTAAGAAGAAAATAGCTCGGAACACAATCCACAAAATTGAGATCCAGATACAAAAATAATTAAAAAAATACTAACTAATTGAAATCCAGGGAGCCCTCGAAGCGTTTTACAAAACTCCATTGTAAAAGGAGGCAGCTTGGCTGAAATAGACAACTTTTTGGACTCTTGAGTACGCAAAGAACAAAATAAAAAAATGATTGATGTAACAGAAAATGTGTTTTTAAAAAGCAACAAGTAGACTCAGTTTAAATAAATCATCATGATTGGATGGCTACACAGCAGAATGGTACAAGTTTATAAGAGAACGTCAAATGCAAAATGAGTTACACGTTATAAACCATGTTCCAAAGGAAACAATGGCAGCGATGGTAATCAGTATTGATGCAGAAAAGGCGTTACAGGTAGTTTCCTTTATCAAGTCCTGTGCAGATTTGGCGTGCACGAAACAACAATAACAACAATACAGAATATATAATATATGAAACCAACTGCTAGAATAAAAGTTAATGGTTACTTATCAAACGGCTTTGTTTTGGAAAGAGGGCACAATGTGCATGTTCACCACTGCTATTTGCATTATACCTAGATCCACTCGCTCAAAATATAAGACAAAACAAAGAAATAAAGGACATTAATATACACAAAAAAGAATATAAACTGGCCTCTTATGCAGTTGGCATTTTGATTTTTCTGGGACAACCAGCAAGCTCTCTACCTAAACTAATGCAGTCATTTGAACGCTTTGGTGTCTTTTCAGGATACAAAATTAATATAAGTAAAACTCTACTAAAACTAAAAAAGTCAATGTAGCTAGATGGAGTTTGATCCCATATTTAAGTTTCAGCTCAAGAACAGAATAATTTTAATTGAAAATGTTATAAATCTATACCAAATTTTACCAATAGAATTAGACCAACCACAATTTAACAAATGGGACAAAATCCTGTCTAGATACATAAATCAGGGTAAAAGACCCAGGATTAGGTTAAAACATTAGTTAGTGAAAGATAAAGGGGTATGGGGCTTTCCCTCCCTCAGAGATTACTACTGGGCAGCACAACTGAGGCCCATGGTCTGATGGTGCAATCCTTCATATGAAGCTCAATGGAAAAGCGCTGAAGAAGCCCTGACCCCTACCCCACTACAAGCACTCCTAGCAGACAGTGACCTGCAAAATGCTATAAAGAATATAGATAATCTGTGGATCAAGTTGAATTTTAAAACATGGAAAACGGTAATAACATACAAATTTGAACATAACAATGTCCTTAAAGGCGCTTCTTAAGTAAAATGATTATCATGGCACGGTGGCGCAACTGGTAGAGCTGCTGCCTCTCAGCGAGCAGGTCCCTGGTTCAAATCTCAGTCCAGGGGTCTTTCTGGGTGGAGTTTGTATGTTCTCTCCATGCATTTGCAGGTTTTCTCCAGGTACTCCAGTTTCCTCCCACAGATCAAAAACAAGCATGTTAGGCTGATTGGTAACTCTAAATTGTCTCTAGGTGAGAGAGTGAATGGTTGTTTGTCTCGATTGTCTCTATGTGTCCCTGTGATGGACTGGAGACCTGTCCAGGGTGTACCCCGCCCCTTGCACAGTGATTGTTAGACTTGGGCACCGGCGACCTCTGTGACCCAAAATGGAAGAAACGGGTAAAAGATAATGGATGGATGGATGTTAGTGGGGTATAACAACCACATTTAACTCCCTTTATGTTAATGTTTATGTTCATTTCCTTTTCTCATTTGTGTTAAAAATTTACATTTAAGTGAATAATTTGACTAATAACTGAAGCAGATGTACATGTGAAATATGTTTATAAATGTCAATATAAAAGCAATTTACAAAAGGAAACACCCGGCATGACAGTAACTGGGACAGGTGAGAGTGGGCCGGACGGCAGCTGAAGGAGCAGAAACTGACAGAGGACAAGCAGCTGATTCAAAACTGGGAAAAACTGAACATCAATAAGAAAACACATAAAGCGAACAAAACCAAAAATAACGAACATACACACAACAAAAACATAAATGAATAAATAAAGAGACAGATACTGATACAACACAGTGAAGGCTACGCAATGAAGTCTGATCCACCCAGACCAGGACCAGTAAACATTTAACATCGCAGGAAGTCTTTTGATGTTTATTTTGTTTGTCTCTGAATGGACGGACAGAGTGGGAGCTGACTTGTCTGGATTTGTCCACAGGGTGGACCAGCAGAGCTCTGAGGGTGCCAGTGGTCAGCCTGCTCAGCACAGTCAAACACAGCTGGACTCCATATTTGTGGTGTGTACGTCTTTGTGCTGCTCTTCTTCCTTCTGTCCAGCACGAACCTGACACTTGGCTCCATGATTTCAGTCTGACATCTCGTTCATGTATGATTCTGTTCCAGCTGCTGGAGGACATCATGGTCACTTTTGTGAAGAATGAGCTGAAGCTGGTCAAAAAGGTTCTGAGTCCAGATTGCCCAGAGTGCTTTGAGAGTCAGAAAGAAGATGAAGAGGAGAGGAGGGATATCAAGGAGGCGTTTGTCAAGATGACTCAGCACTTCCTGAGGGGGATGAAACAGGAGGAGCTGGCTGACCGTCTGAAGAGCAGTAAGGGGATTCCTTTAAAAAATCACAATAGCACAGCTAACGTGAGCAATAACTGACTTCTTGTTTGTCTCACTTGTTCTATTGAATAGCTAGTTTCCTTGGGGTTACTACAATGCCATATTCCCTTGCTCAGTCCTCTTCCTGCTAAGTCCAGGAAGACCCTTGTCTTCTCAGACCTGTTCCTGATAAGACCAGAAGGACCCATATCTTCCCAGTACTGTTCCTGAGAAGACCAGGAGGATCCATATCTACTTAGTCTTGTTCTTGACTTTGAGGCTTATTTGCCTGTCCCAAGCTGACCTTACCCATCTCATCACAGCTGATGTGCCTTAGTTCCTGTTCATGAGGGGATCTAGCTTGTCTGTCTCATCAGCCAAGGTGGACACAGAAGATATTCGTACAGATGTCTTTCTGCCTGTTCCAGCTGTCCAGGAGTTTTCTGGAGACACTCCTGTACCTGTTTTTATACCAGCCTTCCAAAGGGGTTTTCTGGATGCCTGTGTTGCAGCGTGAGCTGCTGCAGCTAGCTGTTGCTAGCTGTGGGCCTCAGGCCTCATTTTGGACCCCAAACCCGCCTTCGGCTCACGTGCCCCCCTGCTTGGACCTCCCTCAGAAGTAGCAACTCACACTATCTCAATAAATGAAGGAAACGTGAATTACGTTTTACCAGTTGTATTAAATCAAGGCAGGGGAAGGTTACAGTTTTACAGCGCTGGCCTCTCCGATACACGACGCGAGATCCTGGACCGGAAGGGACGGATGACACATTACAAATATATAGGACCTAGGTTCGGTCTTCACATCTAGGAGTACAGTCTATCACGTGGGTAAGGGGGTCAGACTGAATGTGATCTCAATGGATCTTATGTGGTCTGACGTGTCAGGAAAAATGATACGGGGCACAAAGCCTCTCTACGTGGTGTAGCGAGCCAATAAATAAATAACAAATAAATTAAACTCTACTCCTTGACAAAAATTGAATCCCTGGGAGACTCATTTTTTAGAGTTGCTGGCCCCATTTAAACCAGTCAGAACTAGGTCATAATCTCATTAAAATCTGTCTGAGCAGATCAAAAACCCAGGGTCAGTCTAGATAAAATACTAACACCTGTTTTCTAGTCCAAGCCTTTAAGGGATTCCAGCAGGGTTCCTTTCCATCCCTGGGCCAACAAGCTAACTGTTCTTGTCCTACCTGGTCTCTTTGTCCACGCCTTCTCTTGCCGCCAATTTCAGATGAGCATTTTTGTTTCATGTTTCTCAATAAACTGAGGGTACTCAGCCCTGTCAAGAGAACCAAGAGCTTTGCCTACCAAACAAGCCCAAAGTTTTCCATGGACCGGTCACTACAGGATATGTTTCGACCGAGCACTGGTAACATAGCATGCATGCAAACGGTCTTGGCCATGCCCACTTCCCCTGCACAGAGAAACAGCTGATTAGATGCAGTAGGAAGCTTATCCTGCAGTAAGAGCTGCACGAAGATAGGAGGACGCTTTTTCTGCAGCTCTGGGCTGCACAAAGATGCAGCAGGTGATAAATAATTTAAAATAATTCATTTTAAGTAAAAATTCTATGCCCATCGTGCAGCTCATCCATCAATCAGCCAATTGTATGTCATGTCTACTCTTATTTTGAAAAACTGTGATTGAGCGAGTCCGCAATAAACGAACCGCAAAGTAGAGAGGGACTACTGTATTTACTTAAAAGAAGTGCTGATATTCTTTACTGTGTTTTTATTTAGAACATTTTGCTGCAGTTTGTCAACATGAACTGAAATCTGATTTGAAGAAGAAGCTCCAGCGTGTGTTCGAGGGGATTGCTAAACCAGGACACAATATCCTTCTGGATCAGATCTTCACCGAGCTCCACATCACAGAAGGAGGGACTGGAAAGATCAATGATGAACACGAGGTCAAGCAGATTGAAATTACATCCAAAAAGTTAAGCAGACCTGAAACAACCATAAAACGGAAAGACATTTTTAAAGTGCCACCTGGAAAAGATGGTCCAATCAGAACAGTGATGACGAAAGGAGTGGCTGGCATCGGGAAAACAATCCTAACTCAGAAGTTCTCATTGGACTGGGCTGAAGACAGAACTAATCAGGACATCCAGTTCTTGTTCCTGTTCACCTTCAGAGAGCTGAATATGCTGAAAGAGAAAGAGTTACCGAAAAGCTTGGTGGAACTTGTTGATCACTTCTTTACTGAACCCAAAAGAGCAAAAATGATCCTGTTAGAAAATTTCAAGTTTCTGTTCATCTTTGATGGTCTGGATGAGTGTCGACTTCCTTTGGACTTTCGTAACAATCAGATCATTACTGATGTCACAGAGTCCATCTCAGTAGATGTTCTGCTGACAAACCTCATCAGTGGGAACCTGCTTTCCTCTGCTCGCATCTGGATAACCACACGACCTGCAGCAGCTCATCAGATCCCTTCTTGGTTTGTTGACATGGTGACCGAGGTCAGAGGGTTTAATGACCCACAGAAAGAGGAGTACTTCAGGAAGAGATTCACACATAAGACACAAGCTAAGAGGATTTTCTCCCACATCAAGAAGTCACAAAGCCTTCACATCATGTGCCACATCCCAGTCTTCTGCTGGATCACTGCTACAGTTATGGAGGATGTGCTGGGAACCAGAGAGGGAGGGGAGCTGCCCAGCACCCTGTCAGAGATGTACATCCACTTCCTGGTGGTTCAGACCAAAGTCAAGAAGATCAAGTTTGAAGGAGGAGCAGAAACAGATCCACACTGGAGTCCAGAGAGCAGGAAGATTATTAAATCTCTAGGAAAACTGGCTTTTGAGCAGCTGCAGAAAGGTAACCAGATCTTCTATGAGTCAGACCTGAAAGAGTGTGGCATCGATATCAGAGCAGCCTCTGTGTGCTCAGGAGTGTTCACACAGATCTTTAAAGAGGAGAGAGGGCTGTACCAGGACAAAGTGTTCTGCTTCGTCCATCTGAGTGTTCAGGAGTTTCTGGCTGCTCTTCATGTTCATCTGACCTTCATCTACACTGGTGTCAACCTAATGAAGGGAAAACAACATACTTCTGTGTTGTCCAAATTATTCAAGAATCATAACCTTTCAGATCTGCATAAGAGTGCTGTGGACAAGGCCTTACAAAGTCCAAATGGACACCTGGACTTGTTCCTTCGCTTTCTCCTGGGTCTTTCACTGCAAACCAATCTCAGTCTCCTACGAGGTCTGCTGACACAGACAGAAAATACCTCACAGACCAATCAAGAAACAGTCAAATACATAAAAAAGAACATAAATGAGGTGTCATCTGTTGAGAAGAGCATCGATCTGTTCCACTGTCTGAATGAACTGAATGAACATTCTCTAGTTAAGGAAATCCAACAGTCTTTGCGATCAGGATGTTTCTCCAGAGATAAAGCCTCTCCTGCTCAGTGGTCAGCTCTGGCTTTCATTTTACTGTCATCAGGAAAAGATCTGAACGTGTTTGACCTGAAGAAATACTCTGCTTCAGAGGAGGTTCTTCAAAGGCTGATGCCAGTGGTCAAGGTTTCCAATAAAGCTATGTGAGTACAAACGGCCTTACATACAGGTTAAAATACATGTAATTTGATGGCATAAAATTGTGTCATGGATTAAAAACAATTTCTATCACAAACCATTAACTTTGTACATTAGACAAAATAATTTTACTTTTACCATGTGAGCTTCAGCTTCACCTGGTGACATTTTTGTTTAATTCATAACAAAAATTAATGTCTATGCAATGAAATAAATATTAGTCTAATAATCTGTATCTTTCCATATTATTGTCTTCTCAGATTGAATGACTGTAAACTTTCAGAGAGAAGCTGTGAAGCCCTGTTGTTAGTTCTCAGTTCAGAGTCCTCCTGTCTCAGAGAACTGGACCTGAGTAACAATGATCTGCAGGATTCTGGAGTGAAGCTTATATCTTCTGGACTAGAGAATCCACACTGTAAACTGAAAACTCTCAGGTGAGACGTCCTAATTCTAAGGGTAATCAGCCTGTTTTGTAATTACAAGAACATTTGTCATTACTTACAGAACATTTAATATGTGAGGTTTTTCCACATCACTGCCTGCAGTTGTTTTATTCAACTGTTCAACTGTTTTTTTAATGAATTTAGAAGTATTAAGAAATACTGTTCATCTTGTGTGTTTGTAGTCTGTCAGGCTGTCTGATCACTGAAGAAGGCTGTGCTTCTCTGGCCTCAGCTCTGAGCTCTAATCCATCCCATCTGAAAGTGTTGGATCTGACCTACAATAATCTTGGAGACTCAGGAGTGAAACTACTGTTGGCTGGATTAAAAGACTCACATTGCTTGCGAAAAAATCTGAAGTATGAAAACTCCCACTGCAGCCAAACAAAATGTCTTATTGGTTCAACTTCTGTCCTTTTCATTCCTGCTATATCAACATTTGCACTTTGCAGAGTGTCTTCTATGATAATATCTTCATAAATAACATCTGCCAGTTGGGCAAAAAACACTCAGTTTAGACAGTTTTCTGCATCTGTCAACAAAACTTTGAGCTTGACCTTTTTTCTCTTTGAGGCTTCCACTTTTACTTCAAGCGCAGGTCCTCTACCAGAGGCCTGAGAGTTTGAGGGTTCTGTTCAATATCTCAGCAGTTCCCAGGACTGTGGTTTTCTGGACAGATATCTGTAATTATGTTCCTGGGATCTGCTGAACCCACATTCTGAGTTTGGGAGGCAGAGCCCTGAGTGCATCATTGACTACTGGCACCACTGAAATGTTAACTGTCTACAACTTTTCTATTTTTTCTTTCAGATATATATCTATACATACATTTATATACATCTGATTATAGACAGAAACAATCTGGCCTCATGTCTGTACAAGACCACCAAACCAAGACTAGTGTTCATTAGTACACACTTCTGCAATACTGTTTCTTTCCACACGGGGGAGCTACTGAGTTACCTCCACTATACACAGCTAAGCACGTACTGTTGGTTTTGTGGATTTCGGTGACCAGCCTAAAAATATGACAAGGCATCTCTTTGTCTTCTTGCTGAAGCCAAAGTTATTCTGGTGGGGACAAAGTTTTTGGTCCTTACAAAGTTTTGGACCTCATACTGTGAGCGTGCTGTCAAGGTAGGGTCCCCTTCATTCACCAAAGACAAGTACAAGCACACACTTACACACAGCCAATGCAGGTGTGCCGAGTCCTGGTTCTGGAGGGCCACCACCCTGCAAGTTTTAGTTGTTTCTCTGTACCAGCACACATGACTTAAATGAATGAGTGATAAACAGGCTTCTGCAGAACTTGAATATGTGGTGAAGAGCAGGGAAACAACCGAAACATTCAAGACCAGAATTGGATACAAAAGATAAAGTGGGTACTGAGGGAATGTGTAAAGTCAGAAATGTACAACACCATATACCCATATTTTTATTATGGCAAAATCAATAATAATAAGTTCTAACAATGTTCAGTCAGGTCATCTGGACAGTTTTTTTTTTTGTTTTTTTTTTGTTTTGTTTGCAGAAACGTTTTGTCCTTCATCCAAAGGACTTCTTCAGTCCGAGAAGCCACCAAACAAATTGGAGTCACTAAGATACTGTCCAGATGACCTGACTGAACATTGTTGGATTTGTACCTGGATTATTGAGCTTGAACTGTTGGAATAATAAGTTCTGTTTATTTTTAATCAGGATTTATATTCTGCAAGAAGTGAATAAATTTTTCTCTCTGGGAAAGTTGTGAGATTAAAGTGATATAATTTAGGAGCTAGGAGCTCTGAGAGCTCATTCTTGACGCATGGTCTGAACATTTTTCTCCTGGGGGTTTGCCCCAACTGTTGAATGATTGGTCAGAAATGTGGAGTGTGTGTGGTTAATACAGCCGCTCCATTCCAGGAGCTGCTCAGGAACAAGTGTGGCCATAGTCACATTGGGAGGATTAGCTCCTGGGGGCTAACATTAGCTCCTGGAGGCTAACATTAGCT